TGCAGGCAGCCCCGCGGCGGAGGGGTGCCTGGCCACGGACCCCGTCCTCACCAAGGGCTGGCCAGGAGCGGGTCGGGCATCGCTGTGGCCGGCTGGGTGCTGCAGGTCAGATGGTGCCAGTGAGGTTTTTCCCTGCTTTAATGGCAGACTCGTGTTACCTTTTCTTTTTCCTGTCCTCACAGAGGGCAGCTGGACATCACGGCCTGGTAAAGGCCATGTGAGGAGTTCTGGGTCTTCAGTTGCTTTTTGAGTGGTTTTCTGCAGCCTGAAGGGAGCCAGCCTAGGAGATGGGGGGGCTGAAGGCGGTGCCGCTGGCTGCACTGGTGGGCTGCCCCAGGGCCAGCTCCTGCACTTCTCCAGCAGCAAGGGCCACAGCTGAGCACGGGCACCAAGCCCGTCCCCAGTGCCACAGTCACCGTCCCAGCATTTGATGGTGCACGGGCACCCGTCAGCCGGGTGGATCAGCTCTAGCGTGGGGAAAAGGCACACAGGGTCGGCCAGCTGCCGGGGTGGAGGAGGGCCTGGGAGCACCAGCCCTCCCCGTGCCCGGTGTGTGGGAGCCGTGCGTTTTCCCTCCCAGGCGCAGCCATGGGCAAGCACAGCAGCAAGCTGGCCCCGGAGATGCTGGATGACCTGGTAAGGAGCACGGAGTTCAGCGAGCAGGAGCTGAAGCAGTGGTACAAGGGCTTCCTCAAGGACTGTCCTACCGGCATCCTCAACCTGGAGGAGTTCCAGCAGCTCTACATCAAGGTGGGCTCCAGCCAGGGGCCCAAGTGCTGCCTGCGGGGCTGGAGCACCCTGCTCCTGCTGGGGCAAGGGTGCTGCTTCGGGTGCAGCCTCCGCGCTGAGCTCCCTCTCCCCATTTTGATCTCTCTCTTCTCTCCTCCCTGCAGTTCTTCCCCTACGGAGATGCCTCCAAGTTTGCCCAGCATGCTTTCCGCACCTTTGACAAGAACGGTGACGGGACCATCGACTTCAGGGAGTTCATCTGTGCCCTGTCTGTCACCTCCAGGGGCACCTTTGAGCAGAAACTCAACTGGGCCTTTGAGATGTACGACCTGGATGGGGATGGGAAGATCACGCGCTTGGAGATGCTGGAGATCATTGAGGTACTGGTGCTTAAAATCAGCAGGGTGGCTTGCTTTTTCCAGGCTTTTCACAGCTATTGGGTCCCTTTTGGCACCAAAGAATGAGTTTTCCTGCCCAGAGCCTTGTCTGAAAGGTACCTGGCATGCACCTGATTGTAGCTGTGCAGCAGCATAGCTCGTGCCAGCAGCTAACTGGGTCCCAGCAGAGCACCAATCCTGTCCCCTGCCTTGTCCTGGGACCTTCTGCCCATCCAACATCCCCACTCTGATACTTTGCTTCTTTTCTTGCTCCAGGCCATTTACAAGATGGTGGGGACTGTGATCATGATGAGGATGAACCAAGATGGGCTGACGCCTCAGCAGCGTGTTGACAAGATCTTCACAAAGATGGACAAGGACAAGGATGACCAGATCTCCCTGGAGGAGTTCAAGGAGGCAGCGAAGAGCGACCCCTCCATCGTCCTCCTCCTGCAGTGCGACATGCAGAAATAGAGCCCTGAGGGCTCATCGCTGGACTGGCTGCAGCCAACCTCTGCTCCCCGTGATGGTTTCCATCCCCATTTTGTGCTGAGTTCCCCCCGTGCCCGCTTGGCCCCAGGCATGAGCCACGCTCCATCTCTCCTGCCACCCATCCGCCTCTGCTCCCGGCTGCGTCCTGGGCAGCCCACAGTCCATGGCCTGTAGCTCTCCCTCCATGGGTAGAGCCTGCTCTGGGTATTGCCGGCTTGAGGTTACCCCCAAATCAACCCTCTCCCATCCTGAAGCTGGACTCCCTGCAGCCAGTGGCGAGTGTCCTGGCTCCCCAGGGCCAACTCTTCCCATGTCCCTGCTGCTTTCCTCCTGCTTTCCCCCACTGCTCTGCCTGGCCCATTCCCCGATCCTAACTGAAACCAGCTCTTTCCCCTTTCCGCTGTTCCCCCTCTCATTGCTTGTGATGCCTCCAGGGAGGCTGAAAAGTCCCAAGTCCTGGCCCTGGGCCTCCCCTTCACTGGCAATTCCCTGCAAGGATGCCCGGAGGGGCCAGGGCTGGCCCCAGGGTGCTGGGGAGCTCAGGCAGGGTGCTGCACCCTCCCTGAGGGCTTGCTCCCTTGGCTCCCTCTGCCTGGCTTTAGCTTTTCCACCTCGGCTTTTGCTGCTGGGAATGGCCAGGGTTGGTCAGGGGACTTTAGGGGAGAGCAGAAGTGTCCAAGGCCACCCCTGGATGCGGCCAGTGTCTGATCCCAGAAGCCACCTTCCACCCCACCACCTGTGTGAGCTGGCAGAGCAGGTGGGGGACCTCCACAACTGCCCCGGCAGCATCTTGGATGCTTTGTGGAGTTTCTGGCCTTCCTGGATATTGAGGTGATGCCCAGGGTCCCAAATTGAAGGCAGGGGCTGCCCGACTCCTCCATGGGCTGCCCTGGGGCAAGGTTGGGAGTGTGGGTGTTGAAGGCATGTCCTGGTGCTGCTCCCGGTGTGTGACACCACTGTGGGGACGGGTGGGCCCTGGACTGGGGCTGTGGAGAGGTGTGGATGGGTCCTGTACCTGCTGAGCCTCCGGGCAAGGCTCTGAGGCCACAAGAAACATGTCTGTCTCCTTCCTCCCCCCATCCCAGCCTGCTGCCTCCGTCCCTCCTGCCCCAGGACAGGAATATTGTCACAGATTGGTATTTAGTCTGCACGTTGTGGTGTTGATGACTGTAATATCTGTTAGGAGATGGTGAAGTTGTTATCTATTTTTTTAATGGAAAAATAAACTGTCCCCCACGTGTGGTGTTCCCGCCGCATGGCTTATTGGGGGGCAGCTGGCTGCTGCAGCGATGGGGAGAGCGAGATGGCAACGCTGCGTTCCTGAGCATCGTTTAAGGGGCTCATCTGAGCCTGTGACACTCCAAGGGATGGAGAAGACCTTGGGGCCAGTGCGGTGTGGCGCAGCCTGGGAAGCCTTGAGGATGGGTGGAAATGTAACTCTTCAGTCATGCCGGTGGCTTTGGGGAAGGGAATGTTATTTTTTTGGGGGGAGGGATAGGGCCAGCCATCCCTGGTCTGTGCTGGAAATAGGTCTGTGTCAACTAGGAGCCTGGACCCTGGCTGTTCCTTTCATCCAGGGCTGGGCATAGCCAGAGGATGCGGTGGCTTTGTCCTGGGCCCCATCCCAGCACCACCAGCAACTGGGACCTGCTGTCACTGTGTCTTTGTCCTTCTTCTCATCCTCCTCTTCTCCACCCCCATCTTCCCTGCGCATATTTTCCTCTGGCGTTTCTTCTCCAGCAGCAGCCTGCAGAGACAGTGGCTGTTGCTAAGGAGCTCTCACCAACTTTAAATACTCCTCTGTGGTTAATCAGGCAGGGCTGGCTCCCGGCTGGGAGCCCCGCTGCGCGGTGCTGCTCACCCCGGCCTGCCTGGCTCCAGCCCGCGGGAAGGTGCGTGGCTCGGCTTCCACCCTGCAAATCGCCAGCACCTGAGCACGGAGCTGGGAGGGTGCCAAAAGCGTGGCAGTGGGTGTATATTTTTAGGAGTCCTGCTGAGGGAGAGCTCTGCGCGCCTTGGGTTGGGCTGCCGTGCTCGCCTGGGCTGTCCGGGAGCGTGCGCGTGTGGCTGCAGCTCAGCGGTGCCTGGGGAAGGGGGGACAGGGCAGGTCACCCTGCCGTGGCTGTGCGGGAGCCCCGGGACGTGCCAGGGCTGCCGTCTGAAAGGGCAGGAGCTCAGGCCCAGGAGGGGATCCCAGGACAGCCTCGGTGATCCCAGGACCCTCAAAGCTCCTGCTTCTCTTGGGGCCATCCCAAAGGAAGCTCAGGTATTTCCCAAGGGGAACCTGGAAAGACCCTGGGGAAAAGGAGTCTTTGAGGCTGAAATGATGTTAAATTCCCAGAAGGGCATCCCGAAGGGTTTGGGATCCAGGCAGCCGGGCGAGCCCTGGAGCCAGCACTGTTCCAGCACCCGCCTTCCCCCCCACTCTGCTCTCCTGGTCGAGCCTCAGAGCAAGCCAGGTTGTGTTTGATCAGTCTCACGGGCAGGGACAGGGGTGTTCCCGAGGCCGTGGTCTGTAGGGAGGCTTGGGGTCCAGCTGCTGGCCCAGAGCTTTGGGGTTCTGTGACCTCCTCCCCACTGCTGCCCTGCGCCGGGTGAGACGAGGTGGGATCCCCCGCCACTTGGCCCTTTCTGGCTGCTGAGTTTTGGTCTCTGGGGCACGCTCCCTGCTCCCTGAGGGGCTGCGGGGGTCTGCTGGTCACGGTGCCCTTTCTGGTCTGAGCTGAAAGCTGGGCTCTACACACAGCTCTGTGGCTGGACTTGATCCCATCAGCACTCGTGGGATAACATTGAGAGAAAAGCCTTAATTAATAGCCACGCTCACTCCGTTAGCTATAGCACACAGCACGGGTTACCGCAGCACAGAGTGCGAGCGTGCCCGTGACCCGCCACGCAGCCACCTTCCCCTCCAGCTCCTCCACCCTTGTGCCCCCCCAGCCGCTCGG